CAGAGGATATTTGTTTAATAAATTAGGTTGCATAATAGCTCAAAGTTTTTTACATTTTAGAAAAATGCTGTGTGATTCCAAGGCCATAACAGAATTTCAGCATTAGGTCCTATGTCTTTCGAATTTGGGGCGAAAGAAAGATCGAATAATTAGGTGTTCTCTTTTATTCAAAAGTCGTAGTCAAAGCGTTCATTGGCTGCACCCACAAAATTAAATAACCACAAGAACTTGAAAGGTGTCTCTGCAGACTTACAGACATTTTCGTGGCCAAGTGTTCGTTAACTATAACAAGTCATGATTTGTCATTAACTTCGGGATAGTGCTAAAATTATATTAACAAATATAACAATTCAGGTGCTACATATTTTTTATAGTGCAATTTCTCTTTTATACAGGGACAGCTGTTTCAAAGTATTGTTTGTACACAATCTAAAAAGCATTTCAGTACAACATATGATCGTATTCACCTTGGGGTCCTAAACGTAAACTTTAATTGTAATTGAGCGAGAAACGTTACCAGCTTTGGGAAATTAACAAATCTAGCAAGCGTCCAAAATAAATTAGTGTGGCTAAATTATTGATCTTTTCAGCTTAAATACTTTTTTTCCAATATTATGTTCAAATCCCCAGCTTCAGGCAAAACTTTCTCTCACAACGCCAACAACAAATTTTCACAAGAGCTTTTACTCTTAAATCTGATATTTTTTTTACTATATCCAACCTTGCACTGTATGAATCATGGATATTAATTAGAAATATAACACGCAACACTTCTCGTTAAAGCATGGTAACAATTTTTATCGCATGTTACAATATAACGCTTAAAAGACTAGAGTAAGAATATACAGACCTATTTGAAATTACTGTTTTTTTCTTTATTTCCTCAAAATTATGGAATGGCAGTGAATGGAATGTTTAGAATGAACTTAAAAGTAACAATCTTTGTATACATTGGTCCCTTGTTTTAAGCGTTATGTAAGCTATCAGTTATATGTACACTTTGGTTTGTAAATTAGACTAAATAATTTGAGTTCCATAAAACAACTCTTGGACGGAATGCTATTTTTCCCCAAGTCTCTTTCGTAGCGATACAAACTCCGGTCTCTTCGTATTTTCAAGTACTTTTAACCTCATTATTACTACGAGCTTGGCTTCCTAGCAGCTTGCTTACATGTTAATGTATTGTTTCGCTTATTAACTACAGTTTCTTACTTATAACTACGTAAAACAACGAGGCACAGCTACACAATGATGAAGTATCTGTCACCTTAAGGAGCAGCAGCTGCCGAGTCCGACGCTGTGGCATTCATTTGCGTCGTGATGACAGATAATCTGACGCAAGGTGTAGAACGGGTAGAGACCTACCGTATCAGATCGCATTCACAGGGAACATCACACATGTATTGCATCTTACGTAACATTTTATTTATATACGTTTTGTGGTAATTTCTATTCACTGACAAATTGTTTGATTGGTTTATTCTGGATTGGGTTTTAGAGCATGGGATACTACTACATTATTACGCACGTCTCTTCTGTTTTGATTTAATCCCTGGAAATGTGTCCAAGGAAAGTTCAATGATTTCTAATGCAAAATAAATTTCTTACTACGAGTAACTTACATTGTATCATTAGAATTCTCAATTAACATATATCATATATCGATTTGTACTGCTTGTTGTAAAACCCAATGTGAGCAAGGATCTGGGAATATACAAGAAAATTAATATTTCAATACATATTATTTATTTGTGGTTTAGGATGATTAATGAAGAATGAATATTAAATGCCTGGCTGCAATGTTCGGTGTAGTTTGTCGGTATTATTACTTCATGTTTCGTGTATAATACCTATGTAGCATTTGAGATAAAGTCTTTAAACTGTTTAAGGCTACTGTTACATGGAAAGCAAATACATATGACTAAGTTTTGCAATGTTGTAAAGGAACCGTATTCTCAAAATATAATAAAACTTATAAATCTTAATTTGACAAAGAGGCCCGCATCATCCGAAGGTAATATTTTGTTGTACCTTATCAGTAATTTGAGATGAATTTGCTTCAGAAGCCAGTCCAGTAACACGGAGAAGTTCAATAGAGAAGAATAGTGTAATGCTATTAAGTGGAGGCTAAACCTACTTTTAGAGCTTTTAATTTATAAATTTCCCGTAACATTTCCAACTAGAACACTTGTACATTTTCAGAAAATCTTCTCGTAGTAAAAGAAATAAGTAAATAAATAAATAAACTGCCGTCACTTTATATGATGGGGTAATCTGTTTTGAATGATTTATGTAACGCTACATATAGGGCTGGTGTTAACTGTGCATCGGGAGAACGTCACTTCTAGATGTAAACTGTCCACACAAAGAAAGTGAAACAGTCGCAGAACACGTGCGTGTATTTTCAGAATAAAGACGGGTGTTGGTGTTAAGGCGTAGTTTCTTTGTATCTGTACTAGACTCGATCGCATGGAATATCTGCATTAGCGAAAGAGCACTTACACGTCTTATCATCACGACGAAATTAAGTACTGTCTTTACAGCTAATAACTGCATAAGCAGCAATGTCATGTAGTCAGTTCCTGGCTTTGTAAAGTGTAAGAACACACATTGACGATATATTTTTTTCTGCTGAAATTTCAGTGTCGTGTTACTGTTACCTTCTTTAATTTAAAGTCGAATTCTTCTAGTATCACTTAAGTTCAAATAGAATTACCCGTACGCTTGACATTTGAAACTTTTCATACTTGGAAATTACAACTTGTGTGTAACTAACATATTCATTTTAAATTTATAAGAGAAAGAGATGTCGGGAAAAGATTTTGAATGCGCATTAGTTACAAATGGAAAAGTTTACAAACAGTTTTTATAAAGTATTTAACGAAAGGGACAGGGATTTATTTAAGAACTGGGAGTGAAATTAGGACGAAGTTTCTAGTAGACTCATATTCCAGTGAAAGTGCGCTCTTAATTTTAAACGTTCGATTTTAATCTGCCACGTTCTATACTGATCTA